AGGCGTTTTTGGATTGCTTAGTTAAAATTTGGAATAGATAGAGGATAGCAAACAGGGTTTGGTTTAAATATCTTGATTTTAGATTCAGAGTAGATTTATAAGTGTTATAGAAGCGTGTAAGGAAGCACAAGCACCTGAGTGATAACTCGATTTTAGGAGATTAGATCGAGTGAATGAGATTAATTTAGTTTAGGTGCTTGNTTAGTTAAAATTTGGAATAGATAGAGGATAGCAAACAGGGTTTAGGCTTTATTTTAGATTCAGTGTAGATTTATAAGTGTTATAGAAGCGTGTAAGGAAGCACAAGCACCTGAGTGATAACTCGATTTTAGGAGAATAATTTGAGTGAATGAGATTAATTTAGTTTAGGTGCGTGCTGTAAAAGGTAGAAAGTGAAGGAATTTGTTTGAAAATTTGGATTGTTTAATCGTCTTAATCGCAATCGTTTGATGAATCAATAGAATAGTTATTATTTGGATGAAAAGTTTTGAGTTGAATTGAAGATCAATTGAGGTAAAACCATGTCGGAGTTACGTTCAAGGGGTCGGACTACGGCATTGCGAGATGTGGACGAAGGTGAGGCGTTGGTTGAGAGTATGTTACCTGAGGGACATTCACCAAAATGGCTGCGTGCGAAGGTATTTGTTTGAATTGTTGATTTGATTTTGTCATTATTATTTTATTGTGATCGATATTATTATTATTATTATTATTATTATTATTATTATTATTATTATTATTCATTACTGTTCATTTACTATTTATTATTCATTTATTTATTCATTTATCATTCAACCATTCAATCCTGTGTCATTTCTTTTTCAATTTGTCTTTCTCGAACACATTTATAAAATTGTCATTAATTTAGTCTTTGTGAAGTTTTACATGTTTTCTTTTCATATTTGATCTTGTCTACTAAGAATCACCATGCGGATGGAAATTTGGTCTTAGGAATTGAATAGGTCGAATAAGATTAAGAATAATTTAGGGAAACAAAGANTCTTAATTGCATGATAGGCGGTTACTATCCGTTAAAATTTTTCTCGAATGTTTTGATGTGCCCTCAGTTCAGAGCAGTTTGATCATAAAAGTCATGGAAACACGTGAATGAATTAGGAATTTATATGAATTATTTTTTTGATATTATGAATTATTATTTCATTATGAATTATTTCATTACTTCATGAATTATATTTTGAATTATTTCATTATGAAACGATGAATTATTTCAACATCGTTTCCTTTCTGTAATATATTGTTTTTTTATAATTTTAATAATTTTTTAAATAATTTTTTATAATTTCTGTAATATTACCTGGATTACCTGGATTGGCCAGCAGGCTACCAAACGTTTGTAACGTTGCTGGCCACAATGCTCGCGTTTCCGTTCGCACGGTTTTAGCCTTGATTGTAGCCACCCCGCTGGCTAGGCGAGCAGGCCAAGTGNTGAGTATTTAATTAGTTGCCGTGAATACTTTGCACAATTAAACGTAGCCAAATATCAATCCAATAAATATTCATAAGTCTACAAAATAAACATTCCGCCGATCGCTAACCGCGATCAACAAAACAACCGCTCGATGTGTAAGTAACAATGTAATATAAGCGAAATTATTCAGCAGAAACCGATAGATTTATTGGGTTTTCGTCATTGGTTAGTGATATTGGTGGTGATCGGTGCCGTGTACGCGTTTGTTGTCTACGAGGACAGACGAATGCCTGCAGTGGAGCCGACGGGACAATTCGAGCGATTCTCGGAGACAAGAGCACGGAGACTTCTGAATGAGTTGGCTGATTTGGGGCCGAGAGTGAGCGGATCTCGGGAATGTGAGGTGGGTATTGTTGGGTGGATTTGAATTGCTGTGTAGTTGTTTTCATTTATCATTTGTTTATTTCATTTATTCCATTTCATTTTACATTTACTTCTCATTTATCCATTTTTTTTCTCCATTTTATTTTTATTTTCATTCATCATTTGTACTTTTGTACAATTTTTGTTCAGTTGTTATGTATTTGTTTTGTGAATTTCCGTATTGCTTTTACTTATAATTTTTACAAGTTGGTTTATTTATGAGTGTGAATGTATTTATGTATGTATGCATGTATTTGTTGGTTTGTTTGTATTTAGTTTATTTTAGTTTATTATGAATTATTTTAAGTTAGTCAGAGTTTAATTATGTGTTAATTTTTAAGTTTATGAATGTTATAAGATTAATATCGAGTTGATTTTAATTGATATTGAAATTGAGTTATTAGGGATAAGTTAATTGATATTAAGATATGAAGTTGATTTTATGAGATTGATGTTAAGTTAGTCAGATTTTAATTGTAAGGTAATTTTTAAGTTTATGAATGTTATGGGATTAATATCGAGTTGATTTCGGAAATGAGTGAATTTTGGAAAAATTTTGGAAATGTTGTTGTTGTAGTTGTGGAAGAATTGAATGAATTGAAGCGTTTGAAACGGTGCTGAAAGCGATTTCAGATAGAAGCGGTGAATATTTTAAGTGAACGTTTG